CAATAAACACCAGACTGCCTTGAATAAGTACATTATGAAATATCATGAAGAGGACACTCAAGATGAACTTGAACAGCTACAGGAATGGCTCGATCAATACGATGAGGACAAGTACAAGTCCTATTGTAAGCTACAGAAGGAATGGGACGAATATGACAAGTGCGCTAACGAGATCGAAGATACCAACCACAAGATCCTCTCCCTTCAGCACGATAAGGATGGGTTGAGGGCTAAACAACAGCAGCTCCAAACACAACTACAAGAATCTAAGGACAGGCTCTCCAAATATCAAACCATGGTTGAAACCATCGATCTCGCTCAACAATGGGATGATTATGACGAGTTTGTGTTGTATCACAAGCTCCTCCGTGGCCGCTTCGAGAAAGAGCTTGACACATGGAAACGCACCTTCTTCAACCTTGATTCCAAGCTTAACCTGGTTAATCGGGATATACAGTCCGTACATGCCTGGAACAACTATGTCGCCAATGTCATCCCTAAACAACAGAGATTGGATAAACTCAAGGCACAATACCACGATTGGGAGGAGTACCGGAGGCTACACTCTATCGTCCTCTCTAAGACACTCATCGAGGACATCCTGCCCACCCTTGGGGCATTTGAGACGAGGCTTGAGCTCCTTCACAACATCAAGAAACAACAGAAGTTGAATCTTAAGAAACGCATTGATGAGGTCCAGAACGCATTCAATGAACACAACATCTCCCACGCACGCCTTCAGGAACGCATCGAGACACACAACCGTCTTAAACAACAGTACCTCCTCTCTGTTCAGGCCGTCAATCACCTACAATTCGATGCTGACCTCTTGAAAATCGTTGTCAATGACTTCAAGAACTATAAAAAATGGATCTATGAAAATCATATCCTTAATCACATCGTCGCTTTCGTTAACAATGTCATCAAACTCTCTTGCCATCACACCACTAAACCCTTCCAACTCCATTTCGTCGTTGGCAACACTAATGAGGTCGTTGATGACCCTCAGTCATTCAAGGGACGCTTCGATGTCCATTGGTTGATCCGCAATCATAATCCCACCACCGATTCTCAACCCACACACATCGTCTCCGCTAAATTGGCATCTGGCTTCCAGAAATTCATCATCTCTATCGCTTTGCGACTTGCATTCACACGCTTCCATAACAACCCTCCCTGTAAACAGCTCTTTGTTGATGAGGGTTTCATCGGCCTCGATCGCTTTAATATCACCATGGTTCCCGGATTCCTACGCAGGCTTCTCGATTTCTTTGACTCTGTTATCCTCGTCTCACATATCGAATATCTCCTCGAAAATGTTGACGTCTCCGTTCACATCACCCGCAATCCCGACAATCGTTCCCATCTACAGTTCGGATCACAACTCTCATTTCACTAATATTTCATACTTCATCTACACTATGTTCCTATATTTTTATTCTTTCACATCCTTCTTCCACCATCCCTTGATCTTATCTATAACATGTCCATGGGTAATTCCTACATTACATCACCCACGCCTTTTTCATATCCTCCTTCACAATATGCTTCATCTAACATGTCCATGGGTAAATCTCTTCTATAACATATCCATGGGTAAATCTTATCTATAACATGTCCATGGGGAAACTTATTCGTACACTCCCATGCCATGGGTGATCTTATTGCACCCTCCCAATGCCATGGGGAAACTTATTCGTACCCTCCC